GGGCGGGCGGGGTCGCGCCAGCCGCTGACCGTGGCCGAGGTGCAGAGGCTTCTCGGGCCACAAGTGGTGGGCTTGAAGGCAGCGGCCCAGGACAGTCCGGTGCGGGAATGGATCTTCCACCAGCCGCAGGGCGACCTGGACACCCTGGGGCTGGGGCTCCGCGGGGGCGTCCCCAACGGCTACCTGGTCCTGGACCTCAGTTTCCGAGGTGGGCAGGGGCGATCCCGGGCAGGTCGGGGCAGATGAGGGGGCAGGTCTGAGTCCCCCTTCTCTTCACAGAGGCCCTGTCTGGGGTGCCCCGCCTGCTGCAGCCAGGACCCACAGCCATAGTGACACTGGTGGTACTCTGGGCTCACCCTCTGAGCTGAGGCCACCTTCTGCGCCCCCACCCATGGTGGAGGCCCAGCCTGACCAAAAGCAGGGCCTGGTGGTCCTGCCCGGTGGTGAGGGATGTGAGATCAATAAAGAGCCGTTCCCCAGCAGAAGTGCTCTGTGCTTCCGGGGGCTCCCGGGCCCCACCGGCCTGGGGTCCTGTGCTCAGCCCCTCCCGTTTCACCTTGCGAAAGGGTCCCTCCAGGCAGGTGGGCCTGTCGCTGCCTTCCTGAGGCCGTCCTCACCGCCCCTGAGTCAGGCCACCTCAGGGCCACCAGCAGCAGCGGGGCTCCCTTTTCTGAGCCCAGCCCAGGGGTGCAGGAGGCCTGCGTGGCTGGGCCCTGGCTAACAGGAACTCGGTCCCCTGTGGTCCCAGAGCAAAGACACAGGCAAAAAGACCATTGCTTCCTTTATTCTGGCTCGCCGCGAGGGCTGGCAGGGAGGTGCCACTCCAGCACCAGGTCTCCCGAGGAGGCTGAGGGTGGGGCACACCTGCTGGCTGGGCTGCTCCTCACGGCAAAGGCCTGGAAGCTGGGTGTGGCTGAGGGCTGGCCCTGCAGGCCTCTAGGCCGTAGGAACAAGGAGGTGCTCTGTGCTTCAGGCCCGAGCCTTGGCCTGGGCAGGCCTCTGGCTCCAGTGAGTAGCCCCTAGGTTCCTGCACATGGTGCCCGTGGCTGCCCAGGGGCAGTCCTGTCTGCATGGGCTGTGGTGTGAACTTTGGGAGCAGTCCAGGTGGGGCCCTGAGCTGCCTCCACGCAGCAGCCACAGGAGGCCAGAGAGCAGGACTACAGCCAGAGTCAGGCTGGCCAGGGGGACCGGAGGGCTGCCTGCAGGTGAGACACGGGGAGGGGGTGTCAGCACTGCCAGAGGCTGCTC